AGTCATAGCCCCACCTCCTACAGCCATAGTCCCACCTCCTACAGCCAAGTTAAAAAGTGAACTCTGTGACCAGAAATCATATCAAAGACTCAAATAACTCCTCCAACAAGGAACCCTCTTCCAATTTCATTTCAGTACCCATTTACTATTTAATTATACTCATTGTTGCTTAGGATGAGTTGAAGAGAACTTTTCAGTCTTTGTTTTTATTTTACTAAGGGCGAGGAGGGGGTAGTTCTAGCAATGAGACTACAAATGAGTACACCTTTACACTTTGAATAAAAAGATGTTAATAAACAACCATGTGGAAGACCTCAGGATGTAGGCTCTGAGCTCGCGGCCTGACAGGCCTATGGTCATGAGGGACTAGACATGAGGAGAATGGATAGGAAACTCCAAGAGGGACGAGGGCAACAGGCAGTCACTCTTTAGCTCCTCCAAGCTGCTTACTTGTTAAAGGGGTAAAAAGAACTTTTTTGAAGCCCACAAATCTTTTCTCAAAGCCTACAGAAAGAAGAAAATATTTTAAAGTTCCTCTGAAAGAATTATTTTACTAGCCAGTATGTTTAAAGGGAGGGGAAAGAAAAGTTTTCATAATAAAGATGGATCCAGCTAAGTTACTATGAGCTAATTCATCTGTATATTTTTAGATTTGTCTTAATGGAATTTAATGTTCTTTGAACTAAAGGTTGATCAATTATGGAAGTACTGCTGAAGAGCACACTTGGGGGTCGTGGAGATCCAATGCATTGTTCTAATATATCTGTTCTCCTTTTCTCTTCTAGGATTTAAATCAATCCACGACTCCCTCAATTCTCTCCAACAAATACAGAAAACAAAAATGGATTTAGAGAAACATAAAGTACAGAAAGACCTAAAGAAATTACAGCGTAAAATAGTGGAACTCCAAGAAGTGTAACTTTGAAGGCACCTTCTTTTCCAGCAGCTGATGCAATGGTTTGTTGGGAAAAGTTGTGAAATTAATATCTTTAGGATACTACTTCTGGTGTTTCTTATCACCTCTAAAGGAAATAGACATTTCAGGGGGGAAACACACAATAAATCAAAAAGCTTCATGATGCCTTTATTTTTTAATGAAAAATTAAGAAATTTGTTTTTGTGCATGCTTTGTTATATTTTTATTTGCACACAAGTAAGAAAAACATAATCTGTATCATGTTCCTGATGAATAAAGTAAGTTCGGGTATATTGCAGACCCCCTAGATGACTGATTATGTCTGGAAATAACAACCACTATGTGGTTACAATTCATTACCAACATGAACTTTGTCCATTATTATTAAACATATCTCGTTTTAAAAAATCTCATCTGGCATTAGCATTTGGGATCAAAATAGCTTATAGATTCATGAAATATTTCATAAACTCTAAGGGCAACATTTGTGGGACATATACGTCAGAGGGATAATTTATACTTTCTGACCCAGATAATTCTCTTTTCTATTAATACCTATGCCTATAGTAAGTCTTACTTATGCATATTTAAGATGTATTGTCATTGTACTCAATATGTGTCAGATTGTACTAACCCCTGAAAAATAAAATTATATACTAGCTTCCACTGAAAAGAACCCACAATATTTGGCCTAGATGCTAAATCAGAAGTTACTAAAAAATATTGGTTTCCTATAAAACTAAAGCACACAGCTTAAGTATAGAGCTGTTATGGTTTCATTTCTGTTCATGTGATAAGACACCCTAACAAAATGCAACTTTAAGGGAGAAAGGATTTATTTGGCTTACAAATCATTGTAGAGAAATCAAGCAGCAGGAGTTTGAAGGAGCTTGTCCTATCACATCCATAGTTAGGAACAGAGAGAAATAAATGAATAAATATTTCTCGTGCTTACTCATTTCAGCTGTCTCTACTCTTCTACCGTTCATGACCTGCCTAAGGAATGTTACCACCCACAGTGGGCATGGTCTTCACAGATCAATTAATTTAAAACATCTCCATACAAATACATCCACATGCCATCTAAACTACAGATAATTTCTCACTGAGTTGCTCTTCCCAGATAAGTTCCAGTTGTGTCAAATTGACAATTAAAGCTAATCATTATGGGAACTATTAGAATAAGGCATTCTTATTTTGTAGTACACTGTTTGTGTTGGAACGAGGACTAATTTCTACCCACAGGTTTTATAAATCTGACAAGTGAACCCATTACCAGATTTAGGAACCTTCCTTGTTTTGTAGATTTCTTAAAATAGTAACAATTTCTCCCATAATAAAGCAATTTTAACACCCAAATATTTCACCTACACCCACCTTGCTAATTTTTTTATCATGTAAAATATGTTTATTTACAGTTATTAGTGTACACATGGCATCATTAGCACTGGAGAGAATTTCATAGTAGATTTAAGAGTTCGAAATAGAAAAGTGTGTAATCAAATTTCATGCTGAGGATGAAGATCTGATACTCCAAGAAATCACAAATGTTTGTAAATCAGCGAGAAAATAATATATTCAAAATTTTATTTTCAAAATGGTCACAGGATATGACTAGGTAAGTGACAGAAAATTATAATAACCAATGGAAGGATGAAAAATGCTCAACTTCACTCTCAAAAAAAATCAAGGAAGCTCAGATACCATCTTTAGGTTGGCAGACAGTGAGTTAGTTGATAATACTGCATGAACATGTGCAAGAAAGAATGGAAAGCTCTCATCGAGCACTGGTGAGCCTAGAAACTGGTATAATGAATTAGACGGCAATTTGGAACCATCTACTAAGTATTCTCCTCCTCTTTTACCTTAATTTCTTTACTATCATGCTCCGACCCTACATAATTACAATTCCAAACCTGTTCTATAATACACAAAAAAGCTCCCCAAAGCCTTGTAAAGACACATCCAAGACTCATACTCATGAGGGATTCTAAAGCTGAAGAAACTTTGGTGGTTACACAACAATTTAAGCTCTGTTCAGGGGACACTGGAGGACTGGACTTGCATTATTCCATTTAAGTTCACTCAAAAGTTTTGTGAGCATGAATGAGCTTCCTTTTTGACAGAAGGTCAAGGCAGAGACATGGCACTTATTCCACCTCAAATGCTTTTGCTTAATCATTTAGGAACTGTGACGTTCCTCTCCCCACAGACACAAGCTAATGCTGGAGCACTGGAACTCTGGAATCATATGCAGAATATATGATAAAGTAGCTCATGTGCTTTTTTTATACTCACACCATTTATACAGCCTTGGATAGTGTAAGTCCTGCTGTCTCCCAGCATTTGCTTTCCCTATATTAGAACCTGTTCTTGGAAAATATTCTGGAAATCTCCTGACATTAGTTGTAGCAGTGATGTTTTGGACATAAGATCAAAGCACAGGGTGAAAAAAGTTTGACTACATCAAATAAAAGGTTCCCAAATACCAAGACAACAAAATGGAGGGACAGCATAAGGGAAGGGGAGACACAGAGATGGCTCAGCGGATGAGACCATATGCTGCACAAGTATAAAGACCTGTGTTGAGATTTCAGCACCCACATAAACAGCTGGCATGTCCATACCAGCATCTGCAGGGGCCACATAAGATCAGTGGAGCAAGCTGACACCAGTATAACCCCAGGTTCAGTGAAAGACCCTGTCACAAGTGAAAAAGGTGAAAAGAGATAGGATATTTGATGTCCTCCTCTAGCCTTAAACGTCTACACAGATACATGAACATACATACACACACATGCACACACACAGCTGTAGAAAATATGGTTGTCTTTCACCATCATGATGATCCATACACGTCGAGCTCATGTAAAATCATGTAAAATCATTTGAAGACCTATGCAGATTCTTATATTTTATTTGTTCCTATACTGCACCTCAGTACTAAAGTTGTAGTCTACTATGTCCAGATAGCTCCTCTGAGCAAACTGGAGGACTCCCATTTATTACATGGGCTTCCTCTTCTCTGCCTGATCTGGGGAACCCAACCCCCCAATCGTCTACCTGAGTAACTTCACATGGTCCTTGGCCATTTCCTCTTTCTTAATAAGAATCTGCCTAGCCAGTAAGATCAATGGAATAGAATTGAAGACCCAGAAATGAATACACACACCTATGGTCACTTGATCTTTGACAAAGGAACTAAAACCATCCAGTGGAAAAAGGACAACATTTTCAACAAATGGTGCTGGTTCAACTGGAGATCAGCATGTAGAAGAACACAAATTAATCCATACTTCTCTCTTTGCACAGAGCTCAAGTCCAAGTCTATAAAGGACCTCCACATAAAACCAGATACACTGAAACTAATAGAAGAGAAGGTGGGGAAGAACCTCAAATACCTGAGCACAGGGGAAAAGTTGTTGAACAGAACACCAATGGCTTATGCTCTAAGATCAAGAATTGTCAAATGGGACCTCATAAAATTGCAAAGCTTCTGTAAGGCAAAGGACACTGTCAATAGGACAAAACAGCAACCAACAGATTGAGAAAAGATCTTTACCAATCCTATATCCGATAGAGAGCTAATATCCAATATATACAAAGAACTCAAGAAATTAAACTCCAGACAACCAAATAACCCTATTAGAAAATGGGGTATAGAGCTCTCTCCATGAGGGGAGCAACAATACCAACCAATCAGAGCTCCCAGGGTCTAAACCACCAGTCTGGCAGCACATAGGGAGGGACCCAAGGCTCTAGCTGTATGTGTAGAGGAGGATGGTCTTGCTGGGCATAGGTGGGAGAGGAGGTCCTTGGTCCCATGAAGGCTGAATGCCCCAGTGTGTGGCAAATTGTTGGTGGGGAGGTGGGAGTGGGTGGGTGGGGGCACATCTTCGTAGAAGCAGGAGGAAGGGGGATGGGATAGGGGGCTTCTGGGTGGAGGAGAATGGGGAAAGGGGATAATATCTAAAATGTAAATAAAATATCCAATAAAAAATTTTTTAAAAAAGAGCAACAGTTTAAAAAAAAAAAAGAATCTGCCTAGCAAGTACCCATTTATATGGGATTCCTAGAATGCCTCTCCATATAAATGAAGCATTTATAGTTATTTAAACTCCAGCCAATGAAACTTCACCTTAAGAAAACGCCTTCCCACTCTTCAAGGTTTATGTATAGCCCTTGTCCAACCCATATAAAGATATGTGCACAAGCTAAGATCATGTAAGAGAGCTTGTTTCATTAACATTATCAGAGAAGCCCCTTCCCACTCCAGGCCTGCCACTCACTCTCAGCCAGACCAGAATCCTGCAGACCCCACCTGTTCTGGTTCCAGCCTGGTGTGCAGGAATGCCTGGACATACTGAGAGGAAGGAAACAGAGGATGTGGAACCACGGGAGGAACCCCAGCACAAATACCACATTCCTATGTTGGAGTGACTCCAGCATTTTCAAACAGGCTTCACAAACACTCCACAATTCAGCCACATCTTTGACATCCATGTTCTGTGAACCTCACTAGATTATTGCAATGCGAGACTGTCAGTGCTATATAGTTTTGCTAAACCTTTTTTTCTACTGACAGGGGTAGCAAGGATGATCAAAAGAAGTACATATTCTATGTAGTTCAAGTTTTAAAATACTTTTTACCGATGGTTGAGTCTACAGATAAATTACCTGCAGACAGAAAGGCAGACTTCATGTATTAACCATATATCTAATTGGCGGCTAATATCTTGATCTTAAGGAAGTTACAGTCTATGGCAAGGCCAATAATTACATTTGCAAATGCATGGGCAAGGCTGTGATCAAGCTAAGGCGAGTGCAGGAGAGTGAGTACAGGCTGGAGGACAAGAGACCACATCCATGAACTTCAAGAAGTTCAGTCTAGTCAGAGCCTAACGTGTGTGCTGTGAGATGGGGAAGGGAGGGGCATGCAGGAAGTGGGTAGAGAAAGGGAGAGCTTGGGAACATTGAGGGTGTGGGGGGCTCAACCACAAAGG